GAGGAGGAGGAGGAGGAGGAGGAGGAGGAGGAGGAGGAGGAGGAAAGCCACAGCTGAGCAGCAGCCCGAGCAATGAATCCTGTGGACTCTTGTGGGTCTGCAAGCTGATGGGGATCAATGCCTACACTGGGACCTGTGTCTTCTGTACAGTGTTTCAGGGCTGAGAGCAAGGACACAGCAGCAACTCTGACATCTCCTAAAATGAGTGCTCAGCTCCCTCTGGGTGGTCAGGACACAGGGCAAACCGCCTGTACCTCTTGACTCACCGCTTCCCTCTGAGTGGCGGTGAAGGTAGGGGACGTGCACCGTGGACAGCCATGCCAGACCCCTGTGAATGGCCTTACCTCTGCAGTTCTGCAGGTGAGTGAGGGGCCACACCTGGGGCCCTGCTGCAGTAACCAGGTGTCTGGCACACAATGCAGGCTGTGGACTGAATGTTCACCTCCTGAAAGTCACACTCACCACCTACCCCTGAGGACCTGGCATGAGGAGGGGACTTTGACTAGTCATGAGGGTGGGGCACTCCTGAATGGATCAGTGTCCTTAGCAGATACTGTAAGGACCAGAGTTCCCCTTTCCCCACATGAAGCTGCAGTGAGAAGATGCTTGGTCTAGGACTTCCAGCCTCTTCCGTATATGCAGGCTATGGAAATTTGTCATCGTGGCTGGAACTGACCAAGATAACACCGGGTGGACTCTTCAGCAGAAGACACTTCTTATTTCCTTTCTTAAATTCCTAGCGTTGTCACTGAAAGCTCTGTATACGATTTTTCCTGGATGGAGAATCTTCACCATCTTGCTAGTCATAGCAGACAACTCCACCAAGGTCAACAGCAGCCCCCCCGCCCCTTGCTCACAGAGAGGCTTTGCTCCCATGTCAGTCTCACGGTGTGGGAGGACATGACCATAGCAAATCATTCACAACAGAGCCTGGACACTGAGCCGATGCCAGAGGCTGGGGCAGGGACCCTCTTGCTCATCACTTTGCCCACACTGTGCACACGTAAGTGTGGAAGGCTGAGGCAGCCAATCTGGACTTCTGATGGTTATTAAGAACGTGATTTCTTATACAGGAGGCTTTCAGGGCGGCATCTTTGTTATATCCTGACCATACTGTGGTGGCTGCAGAAAAGAGAGGGAGATGTCCAGGGTGTGACAGAGCAGAGCGAGCAGGCACACTGAGTGTGTGAGGAGCGTCAGGAGCTGGGGTACTGCAGTGGGCAGTGGGGACCACCAGATGATGCTTCCACGTGATAGCAGCACGTCTCTGAGCGAGCCTGGGTGCTGTTGGTGGTGTTGCAGTGCCTGAAGGGGACAGGCGATACAAAAGCACAGGATGTCCGAATAGGAAAGAAGCCGGGGTGGGAGCTGAAGCGAGGCTTCGGGCGCTGCCTTTGCTGCACCACTTCTCCGAGGCCCACGCCAGTGACCTAGAGGCGATTCTCTGCCTGTCCTCACAGAGAGGCTTTGTTCCTATGTCACATTCACAGTGTGGGAGGACATGACAATAGCCCTGGATAAATCATCTCATCATTCTCTGGATGAGATGCAAATTCCATCCTTCCCGACAAACTCCTATCTGTCCTCAAAGTGCACGCACTGCTCCAGGGTCAGTGACCATCGTGTAGATCTCATGGCGTCCACCTCTGTGTGCAGCGGCAGTTCCTGGGCAGGGAATGAATGCCAACACCTCTGACGTCACCACTCATGCTCTGCACAGAGGCCGAGAGCCTGCGTGACAATCCTACCTGACAGGAGAGGGTGGGGGGCAGAGACATTAAGTCCCTCGCCCGTGTGCACGGAGGTTATGCTGCAGGCTGAGTTCTGCTCTCCAGGAGGTGAGAGCACGGGATCTGTGGAGGCAGGGTCTTTGCAGGGTGGGAGTTACTATGAGAGCACGAGGGTGGGCCCTACTTCAACATGACTCAGGTCCTTAGAGAAGAGGAAAGTTCCCTGTGAGGCACCAGCACCAGGAGTGGCCGCCAAAGAGGAAGTGATACGGCTGCAGACCAAGGAGGACCAAGGCCTGTGGCCACCACCAGCAGCCGGCAAGGGCCAGCAAGTGCTGTACCCACTCTTAGAGGGAGCGGGGTCCCGCCTGTTGTCAGCCTCTGGCCTCCTGAGTATGAGTGAATTTCTGTTCAGGCTGCAGTCTGTTAGGGTGAGCCTGCCGTACTTTGTTAGAGCAACACCAGCAAATGGACACAGGGGGTACCCGTGGCTGAACTGGAACCCAGGGCGACCCGACTACAGGCCGTCCCTCCATCCCATTGCCACAGTCGGGGTGAGAACAGCCTGCCCTGCCCCCAGAGGGGCCTAAAGTGCAGGAGAAGAGCAAGCATGCAGAACTGAGCGGGGAAAGAGCGCTGGCCATCATGGTACTGTGAGGGTTCCCACAGGACTCTGGGTTTGCTGGCCCCCGGGCCCCTGGGCCTCTTTAACAGTGGGCTCATGGCAATGCAGACTCATTCATACCTCGGAGCACCCAGCATCCCCTCCATTCAGGCAGTTACACAGTGACATGCAAGCACTCAAACCATCTCTTTATTCTCTCTGATAATTGTCTCATTTGGGAGCTTTGTTAATTATAACCAAAAATTTGATTTATATAATTCAAGTATCTTAATACAGTGTTAACAACTCAGAATGAAAAACCTTGCACTTGATGCTTTTTTTCTCACTTTATATTGTTCTTTCAAACCTTGAAATGGCAGCGTTCTGACATTTCCACTGGAAAGACAAAAACCTCACCTCAGGCAGGGCGAGATACCCTGATTCAGTGAGACTTCGGTCACTGTTTCTTTGGGATGTGACTGCCATCCACAGGTGGGAGAACAAGACCAAGTTCTATCACTGAGCTGAGAGGAGACCACCCAGGAACTTCAGTCTAAGACTGGGGCCACGACGGCCTGCAGCAGCAAGTGGGTCCTGAGTGAGGAGCAGTTGCAGATGGGACTTGTCAGCGCTTGGTCCCCACACCCCCTACTGCTGTTGTCCCAGACCAGGGCACCAGGGTCCACTGGAGACCCCTATTCTCAGGCTTCCACCCTCCCCCCCATCTTAGATGAATCAACTGACAATCAAAGGTAAGAATCAAGTCTTGTCTCAGCCTGGGTTAGAACAAGGGGAATGACCACCATCTTGCTCCACCTCTAGAACCGGGTCCCAGTGGCCCGTGCATTCCAGCTCAGTCAATCAACTCACCAATACTGACTAAGCCCAGGCATGTGCTGGGGACTCTTCCGAGCACGGAGAATGTATGGGGAGTGAAAAAGGCTAAGTCCTTATATTCTACCACAAAGAGGGCACCAAAATTAAGGAAGGAAGTGTGCCAGATATTATATCAAAGATTCAGAGGAAGGAAGCCAGGAAGCTCCTACTGTGTGCAGATCCCAGACAGGAAGGAAGCTGGCCTCTCCAGGCTGAGGTCAGAGGCCCTGAGGGAGCACATGCCCACCCTGGGAATGTCGAGGAGGCCAGTGTGGCTGGAGAAGTGAGGAGAAAGGTGCAGGAGGTGAGCTCAGAAAGATGAGCACATGGGAGAGGGCGTGGGCTGCAGATGATGGGCAGGACTTGGCTTTGATTCCGAGTCCTGCAGGTGAGCGAGTGGAGGGGAGGAGTGGAGCCATTTCGCCTGGTGCTGAAAGCATTGTGGAATCGGCCGGGCTGACAGCAGGCTGCAGGCCAGCCAAGGAAGCCACGGGGGCCCTTCCCAAGCCCAGGGGAGAGACATGGAACCAAGATGGCAGCAGTGTGTGTGGGGGGGTGAGAACCAGTGGGACTTGGCACCAGCTTGTGG